GGGTTGGTTTCTAGTTTAATTCCCTTGTGATCATTGAAAATGCTTGGCATAATTTCAATTTTCCTGAATTTGTTGAGGCTCATTTTGTGTTCAATCATATGGTCTATATTTGAAAATGTTCTATGTGCATTTTAAAAGAATGTATATTTATCTCTTTCTGGATGAAGGGCTCTCTATATATCCATTAAATCCATTTCATTTAGAGTGTTGTTCAATGCCACAATAACTTTGTTGACATTTTATTTGGAAGATCTGTGGCTTTTTGACAGTGGGGTGTTAGAACCCCTATGATAATTTTGTTGCTGTCCATATTTTTCTTGAGGTCCTCTATGATATACTTTATATATTTGGGTTGTCCTATATTGGGTGAATATATATTTATAATGTTAATGTCTTCTTGGTGTATTATTATCTTGAGTATTATGGAGTGACCTCCTGGGTCTCTCTTTATGAATCCTTTTTTTTTTTCGAATTCTATATTTTTGTGATATGAGTATTGCTATCCCGGCTTTTTTTTTCTTCTTAATCATTTACTAGGTAAATTTGTTTCCATCCCTTCACTTTTAGTCTGTGTAGTTCTTTCATCCTGAGGTTCGTCACTTGTAGGCAGCATATGTTTGGGTCATGCTTTCTTATCCATTCAGCTATTCTATGTGTTTGATTGCAGCATTTAATCCATTTACGTGTAATGTTATTATTGATTGGTACTTATTCATTGCCATTTTTATACCTGTGTTTCTCTCTGTCTCACTCTGTTTCTTATTTTCTTTAAAGCACTCCTTTTAGCATCTCTTGAAGAGCTGGTTTTGTGGAGGCATATTCTTTTAGACTTCTTTTGTCTTGGAAGTCATTTGGACTTCTATTATGATTGAGAGTACTTACTGGGTAAAGTAGCCTTGGTTGCAGGCCTCTGGTTCTCATTACTTGGAATATTTCTTGCCATTTTCTTCTTGCTTGGAGCATTCCTAATGAGAAGTCAGTACCTAAACTAACTGCATCTCCCTTGTATGTTAGTTTTGTTTTCTCCCACGCTGCCTTTAAGACTCTCTCTTTATCTGGAAATTTTGCCATTTTTATGATGTTTCTTGAAGTCGGTCTCTTTGGGTTCCTCTTGATTGGGACTCTCGGTGATTCCCGGCTTTGTGTGACTTTTTTTTCTCATCAAATTATGTGTTTTTCCTTATTAGTTTTTTAAGTAGGTTTACTATCCTTTACACTTCTTTTTCTGGTGTCCCTATTATTCAGAATTTATTGCGTTTCATATTGTCTTGCATTTCTCTGAAACCCTCTTCATTCTTTCTGAGCCTCTTTTTCTTTTCTTTTTCTTTCTGTGAGTTTTTTCTACTTTGTCCTCCAACTCAATGATCCAATCTTTTGCTTCATTGATTCTGCTTTTGATTCCTTCTATCGTGTTCTTCAGTTCAGAAATTGTATTCTTCATTTTCTGTTGTTCCTTGCTGATAGTTTCTATTTCCTTCTTCATGTTGATATAGTTTGCAGTGAGTTCATTGTAGCCCCCCTATAGTTTCTGGTAGCTCATTGTGAGCTCTTTGAACTTCCTAATAACCAGTTCTTTGAATTCGATATCTGATAGTTGACTTGCTTCTATTTCATCTAACATTATTTCTTAGGTTTCTCTCTTTTCTTTCTTTTGGATATTGTTTCTTTGTGTTCCAATTGGTTGTGAGACTCTTCTTGTTAGCCTCAGGTTCTTAAATTGATTTGTTCTGAGTCAGTGGTTTTATGGTATGAAGATCTGTGGGGGAATGCCTGTGAAATTCAGCGGTGCAGTCCTTTTCTGTTATCCTGGTGTTCTTTCCCCTGGATCCCATGAAGAGGATCTAGGTCTTCCTCATTACACTCTTTCCCGGGGGTTATCACTGTGGGCTGGGTCGAGAGGCTAACTGGCCAGGCTGCCTGGGTCTCATGGGTTCAGGTGCAGACCCAACCCATTTCTTGGGGGAAATTCAGGCCCTCTACTTAACCTGGGGTTCACTGCCAGGCTATGTGGGGAGCAGGCCAAGGGGCTGTTGCAGAGAATTCTCAGTTTACTTTCCAAAAACTTTTTCCTTTAGAAAGCCTGCCTCTCAGCACAGCTTAATCCCCCAGCCTGACCAGTGACTATTGGAGTCATGGCCCCACAATGAGCCTCTCTAATCGCCCGAGCTGGTGACCACAGAGTCTGCAGTTGATCTTGGCCCTTTGTCTTTAGTAGCCTCTCTGCAAATTCTAGCAATCAAGTCTCTCCCTGCACCCAATCTTGCTTGGTCAGGGAGGAAGGGAGTTGATAACCCAACTCTCTGCCAAGGACTCTTGGCAGGCCGGGGACTCCCAAAGGACTGTGGTACATGCACCAGGAGCTGGGTACTGGGCTCTGGACACTGTGTGCTGACTGAGGCCACTGCTGCTCCTGCCTTAGCTCTGTTCCTGAGACTCTAGTGTACTGAAGCCATCTCCTTACCGTCTGGCTTTCCCGGGGCTGTTATGATTTCTGGTCTATTATTTTCATATATGCTGGGGAACTGTTGGCTGTTTGCACAGTTCCTCCTAAGATCCACCATGATTTTCTCCCATGTGTATGGGGAAATGTAATCCGCTCCTTCGTACTCTATTGCGGTCTTGGAAGCCTCCCCCTTTATCATGATGTTTTCTACAGGTCATTCATATAACCTGGATATTAACTACTTATCAGATACAATTTACAGAATTTTTTTTGTTCTGCAACCTGTCATTTTAACTTATTGGTTGTTTACCTTAATGTGCAGTAGTTTTTATATTCGTTTCAATGTCATTGAATTATTTTTTTCTTCTTTATATTTCCTTTGGTTGTTTTAGTAAAAAAAAAAAAATCCCAGAGTGTCATATAACCACTTCTTTTAGTAAATTAAGACGTATTAGACTTTCTCCGTTTCTTCACCATCATTTGTCAATTTCAAAGTAACCAGCATACTTTTGAGAAAAGGAACATTCCTGGATTGTGGGTTTTGAACAAGGTTTTAGACATAAACAGGCAACCATTTGATGTTTCTTAATTTTCATGTATTTTTTATTATTCTATTTTTGTATTGCAAAGTACTTTTCACTTTTCCATTATTTTCTTCTCTTATTTTTACATTTTTTGTCATTCACCAATTTGCTGTTATTAAAGAGATGTCATATTTTCCTATGTTTCTATTTTCAGGTTCGTATATTCAGTTGTTTATCCATGAATTAAAATATTTCAATGTCTGTAGTATCAATTTTTATAGATGCACATTTTTTAATATTTTTATTTATTTTAGGCAGAGGGTAAGGGAGGGAGTGGAACATCACTGTGTAGTTGCCTCGTGCATGCCCCCTACCAGGGACCTGACTTGGATGATAACCCAGGAATGTGCCCTGACTGGGAATAGAATGAGCAAACCTTTGGTTTACGTGCCAGTGCTCCATTCACTGAGCCACACGAGCCAGGGGCAATTTTTGTACATGTACTTCAGTTTTCTGATTTGACCTTGGTTTTCTGCTTCCTGTATTAAAATATTTATCGAGGTTCAGAACTGTAAAGAGTTAGGCATTATGAACTTGCTTGTCCAGGTTAATAGAAAAGGAAATAATATCCATCCCTACTTTAAACTCTAATTTCTCTAAACGTAGGAATGTGTGTTTGTATTTGAGTGTTTCTGGGTTGCAAGTTTTATATAATGTCCATTTCCTTTTCAAAGCCCATGACATATTTTTATGCTTGATATGATCTTCAGTCCACTGGTGTGAGTTATTTCAACTATTACCCTTTCTGTTTAGTGTGCACTGTAATGTATTCATTCTGTGCTGTTATGGCTTGGGCATTGTGTGTCCTGCAAAAAAAACCAAACACATATTTTGAAGGTGCAGGAAACATCGAGATCATTGAATACAGTGGACCCACTATTCGTCTAGCAAACAATAGGAATAAGGAGCTTATTTATCCTATATCCATTGTGTGATAAGAGGGATGAGCAAAGAGCTTTATGAGTATAAACAACCATTATTTCCCTTTTGTGTGACTTTTTCTCATTGTACCACAGCTCATCCTCTTGCAAGTATTTACCTTTGTGAAGTACTCAACGATGTGATTTGTTTAAAATTTCTTGTAAGGTAAATGTACATTCATGTGTGTGTCATAACTGTGAATCTTTCTTTTGTTTCTATCAGCTTTGTCATCTACTGACAACCAGTGCTTCTTGGAAAGGTCAGGAAGAGAAGATCTATTTTTGGAAGAAACACTGGTGAGTTATGAGAGGTGTGCCTTTGACACTGATAAGGAAGTTTATGACAAAAAAGGGATGTTGGAATGGAAGAAACTAACTATAAAAATTATTAATGAAAAATCATTGTTATCTGAAGATGTAAAAAATATTACAAATCTGAGAAAACTTCCACTTTGAATCAGTTTCCATTACAGACCAATGTATTTCCAATTAGGAAGACTGAAAACAATACTCCAAGTGTACATATTCTTCTAAAGCATAGGTGGTAAACACAAGAACTCAAGGCGGAATCTGGCCCTTGACCTTCTTTTCTCAAACTCAGAACCTTGTTGCTACCTGGAGGAAGCAACAAACTCCTTGCCCTTAGATAAGGAGTAGTTACATTTACATGGTCCTAAAAGTACATGCAGCCCACTGAAGGCAACTGTGAGGCTAATGTGGCCCATGACTTTGACACCTCTGTTCTAGAGACTGTTTGGGATTTCTAAGAAATGTCATAATTTGTGGTGTGGGTAAACATGTAATTGTTTAAAATGTGGATTGTGGAATACTTTTCAGTCAATAATTTGTATAATGTAATTATTTAGAATGCATGTAGAAAGCTTATATGTAATAAATTTGAGATTCCCTTTCTTTAGGAAATATTGCATTTCTTAGAAATAATATTTTCTTTTATTCTACTATATCATATATTCTTGAACTTGAGTATGATTTTTAATACAACCAATGTGGAATTATAGGGATCACCAAATTATTATTTATAAATAAATGCACATGTTTAATGAAATTTTCGATGTCACTAAAGGCCTTTCTGTGTTCAATGTTTACCAGAGTATGTGTGATGAGGACAGAAGTAGTCAATGCAGTGAACATTGGAAGAATTTTACCCATGAGTCACATCCTAACTTCCAGGCCAAGAGTCATCTTGCAGACAGCCATTATGAAGGTAGAAAAGACTTTGACCAAATGTCAAATCACAATAGTCATCAGGTGTTTCCTGTTCTGGAGAAGTCAAATAATCAAAGTAAAAATATCCAATGCTTAAAGCAATCTTCAAATAGCATTGAAAAAACAAATATTGCAGTCAGGGAGAAAGTTTATAAATATTTGACACACTGGAAATTCTTCAATCAAATATCAAATACAAATATACTTACCAAAAGATGTACCAGTATAGGACATAAATGTGAAGACTGTGGTAAAACAGGTCACTCGTTTTTAGGTGGAACTGTACATGAAATAATTTATCCTGGACAGAAGCCTGAAATTTGTAAAGAATTTGGCAATTCATTTTGCATTTCCTCAACTCTTACTCATCATCACAGATTCCATGCTGGACACAAGCCTTATAACTGTGAAAAATATGCTAAAGCTTTTGACCACTCCTCAAATGTTAATGGTATTCAGAAAATTAATATAGGAGATGAAAATTTGATATGTAGTGAATGTGGCAATGACTTTAGAGAGTCTTTTAATCTTCCTCAGCATCAGAGAATTCATACTGGTGAAAACTCTCCTATGTGTAGAGAATGTGAGAAAGCATTTATGATGACCTCAAACCTCAGACAAGTTCAGAAAATTCATACTGGAGAGAAGCCTTATGAATGCAGAAAATGTGGCAAAGCTTTTAGGATGCCCTCAAAACTTACAGAACACTGGAGAATTCATGCTGCAAGGAAGCCCCATAAGTGTACTCAATGTGGGAAAGCAATTAAACATTCCTCAATTCTTACTGAACATCAGAAAAATCATACTGGAGAGAAGCCTTATGAATGTCCTCAATGTGGCAAAGGCTTTAGGAACAGGTACAAACTTACTCGACATCAAAGAATTCATACTGGAGAGAAACCTTATGTATGTACACAGTGTGGAAAAGCCTTTAGGCGGCAGTCAACCCTTAATGAACATCAGAAAATTCATACTGGAGAGAAGCCTTTTGAATGTACTCAATGTGGCAAAGCCTTCAGGCAGCAGTCAACCCTTAATGAACATCAGAACATTCATACTGGAGAGAAGCCTTTTGAATGTACTCAATGTGGCAAAGCCTTCAGGCAGCAGTCAACCCTTACTGAACATCAGAAAATTCATACTGGAGAGAAGCCTTATGAATGTCCTCAATGTGGCAAAGCCTTTAGCCGGCATTCAATGCTTTCTCAACATCAGAAAATTCATACTGGAGAGAAGCCTTATGAATGTACTCAATGTGGCAAAGCCTTCAGGCGGCAGTCAACCCTTACTCAACATCAGAAAATTCATACTGGAGAGAAGCCTTATGAATGTCCTCAATGTGGCAAAGCCTTTAGGTACATGTCCACACTTACTCAACATCAGAAAATTCATACTGGAGAGAAACCTTATGAATGTACTCAATGTGGCAAAGCCTTTAGGCAGCAGTCAACACTTACTAAACATCAGAAAATTCATACTGGAGAGAAGCCTTATGAATGTACACAATGTGGCAAACCCTTTAGGCAGAACTGGCACCTCACTCGACATTTGAAAATTCACACTGGAGAGAAGCCTGGTAAATATATGCCATGTGGCAATCTTTAGCTGGACCTCAACCTTTACTCGGCATCAGAAAATTCATTCTGTTGAGAATCCTTATGTATGTGAAGTATGTGGTAAAGCCTTTCACCTGTAATGTAACTTTTCTTGGCATTAGAAAATTTATATAACAGAGCAATTGTGTGTTGAGCATGTGGCAAAGCATCTTTACAGCTCTCAAACCTTACACATTATCAAATAATTCACAACAAAGAAATGCCTTATACATATACCTCACATGGCATAGGCTTTTACGAGTCCTTAATGCTCATTCATCATAAAATATATTCACACTGTAGTGAAGCCTTTTAAATGTGCATGATGGAATAAAGCCTTGAGCCACTCACAACTCTTACTAAACTTCAGAGAATTCATAATGGAAACAAGGCTTATAAATGTGAGCTAGGTGACAAAACGTTTTGGCATCAGGCCATGAGTACAGGAGAGAAACCATACAAACTAGTGTATATCACAAGTGTTTTATCCATCAGGGGTGCCTTACCCAATATGAGTGAGAGATATCCATCTGAAGAAAAACTGTTCAAATGAGACCATGGCAATATTTTAACCTATATCCAAAACATACCCAACATTTTAAAGCACATTTTTGAACATTCACTTCTTATGTGGCATATGACAATTCACATTATAAAAAAACATTAAAACAGAGTTTGTAGAAAATTCTATAGCTGGACATACAGCCTTGTTATATATCAGGGAAAGCACAGTGGGTTGGGATCCTATAATCATGAAGACTGGTAGACTTTTTGAAATTACAGTTTCTGTAACCAAAAAAGAATTTATACATGAAAGTGGCTTGAAAGGTGTAAAATTTAGGAAACTATATAGTGGAAAAATCAGCTCAAAATATCATAATTCAGAGTAGAGAGTTAAAGATAGATATCAGGTATTGCTCCAAAGCAGAATATTAGTACAGAGAATTGCACAAAGTTTAGAAACATCAATCATTACTTTCCACTGTGCTTAATAATGTCAAAGGGATGGATTTCTAGATATTTATAATTATTCAGAATATAAAGTACAGTGTATTGACAGTATTTGAAATATTTTGAGAAGGAAATATTAAACTGATTTTAGTCTTGTATCAGTTGATGCTACTATGTTTTAATTCCTGGTGTGAGTGAAATTACTGGGTTGATTGTTGGTTCTTTAACAACCTGTGAAGTCTTGTATAGTAGGTGAACATAACTCACAATTACATTTGTATAGAAGATTGAGGAAACCATGATGCACAATGTATGAACAAATCTAATTGAAGTTGCTGTTTTAAGGTTACTCAATTTTATTGTATGTTACAATGGAACTCATGCTATTTCACATTATAGTAAGACATAGAAATGATATAAATTTTAACTACTTTTCTAAATCTTCCTTTAAGGAAAATGTCAATTTTTAAGATCCTGATGTATCTTCATCATAGTCATAGTTAAGTATTAGTTGATGTGATTGGAGTAAAAGCCATCAGTGATATGTGATGGAATATGGAGAGTTCATCCCTCAGTGCATAACAATGTTGTATGTCCATGTTTGCTCAACATTTAGCCTCCAGTTAGAAACCAAAGAAAACTGCAGTCTGGGATCATAAAATGCAAGAACAGTAACACTCCCCTAATGTTTCCAGTATGTGTGTTGAGAAATGATGACACAATTGTACTTTGATTTTTCATTTTGATGATGTGTGAATTCATATATTTATTAATAAAGGTAAATGTACTGGGATGTGTATATGTCTTTAACATTACTCAGGTTTACAGATAACAATGTGTTATTTGGTAATGTAGTGCAAATACGGCATTAGCAGTTTCTTTCCATGGTGTCCTTAGAAATGAAATAATGTGGAAAACTTCCCATTATTAATATATTTCATTGTTCCTAATGGACCATTCTAATAATTACAACAGTTGACATGTGCTTTTTGAAATGTACAGCTAAGCTACTTTATAATATTGCTGGCATTATTGATGCGATTTATTTCCTGTAACTAGGAGCCTTGAACTGACAGTACCTTCTGCTTCAATTTCACAGTAGATAACATCTCACCGAGTCACAGTTAAAGGTCCCTTCTTTAATATTATTATTTTTATAGAGGGAAAGGGAGGGAGAGAGTTAGAGAAACATCAATGTGTGGTTGCCTCCTACATGGCCCCCCCTTGTGACCCAGCCTGCCACCCAGGCATGTGCCCTCAGTGGAAATTGAAGTGGTTACACTTTGGTTTGCATGCACACTCAATTCACTGAGCTACACCAGCCAAGGCTTAAATGTCCCTTCTTGACCTGACTTCCTGGTAGCTGCTTTGAGCAACAGTCTTCCTTCCACCTGAGGCTTTCTCCGCACATGCCCAGTAGATAAGATCTCTGCACACTGAATGTATTTTTTTTTGTTCATTTTGAACAATCTGAACTTAGCTCCAGGATGACAAAATCCTCTGCACGTGACTCTGAATTAAAACAGGTGTCCTGGGATCTCCTGTAGTTTCCCAGGATTTAGCCACATCCTCATTGTAAGCACTGCAGGTCTGCTATGTACGTCTCCCAGCATCTTTGGGGAATAAAGTTGTCTCTCTTAGTTTCTCTTGTGATCTTTTATGTAACTGTTGCTCACTATCCAATACCAATGTGCTGTGCTTAACAAATGCTAATGTAATTTTCTACTCTATTTTAAAAATATTTTATTTACTTTTAGAGAGAAGGGAAGGGGGGAGTAAGAGAGGGAGAGGAACATCAATGTGTGGTTGCCTCTCAGGTGGCCCCACTGGGAACCTGGAGCACAACCCAGGCATGTGCCCAGAATGGGGGTTGAACTGACCATCTTTTTTTTTAAGATTTTATTTATTTATCTTTAGAGGGGAAGGGAATGAGAGAGAGAGAGAAACATCAATGTATGGTTTCCTTTCATGAATCCCCTGCTGGGAACTGGCCTGCAGGGAACCGGCCTGCAACCCCGGTATGTGCCCTGACTGGGAATCGAACCACGATTGTCTGGTTCGCAGGCCCATGCTCAATCCACTGAGCTACACAGCCAGGGCTGACAATCTTTGATTAGTTGCCCACACACCATCCACAGAGCTACCACAGCAGGGCAAATGCTAATTTTCAAGAGTGGCAACAACTGTTCTTAACACTGAAATATTTTTTCAAGGGCAAACAAGTATCACTTCAGAGTTCTGGTTATTAGTTTTTTGAAAATTGCTTTACTTGCCCTGGCTGGTGTAGCTCAGGGGATTGAGCACACACCTGTGAACCAGAGGATGGTAGTTCAATTCCCAGTCAGGGCACATGGCTGGGTTGCAGGCCAGTTCTCAGCAGGGGGCACAGAAGAGGCAGCCATACATTGATATTTCTCTCCTTCCCTTCTCCTACAAAGATAAATAAAATCTTTAACAAAATAAAAATTACTTCACTAAGGTTTTTTTTTATAGATTTACATTGTCATGCAATACATCTTTAATATTCTATACTGTTACAAATTGACATGTGACAGAAATCAAATACTTTAATCTGGATTAATTTTAGAATCTAAATGTGTAGTAGTGATATCTAGTTGCTTACTGAATATTCATTATCTTCTTTCCCAAAAAAATGGTCATTTTTTACCTTCTTTTTCAATTTTATTGTTGTTGAAGTTTAGTGGTCTGTATTTATCTCCCACCACTCCCCTCCACCCTATCCATCCCCAACTCCCTCCCCATTCCACCCACCCTTGGCTTTGTTCATGTGTCCTTTATAGTTGTTCCTGAAAACCCTTCTCTTTTCCCCCGTTATCCCCATCCACTTCCCCTTTGTTTACTGTCAACTTGTTTTTAATTTTAATGTATCTAAGTTCTTTTCTTTCAAATAAGAATAGCTTTTTAATCTTCATTCCAACCACCCCCCTGTGTTCGTTTCCATTTATTGTGTAGAGCTGCTATGTTGCTTGCCCTTTGTAGAGTGGACTCATGTAGTGAGTTCCCTATAGAATCCACTGGCACATTATCCCTTTTCACTCAAGCTGGGGGCTTCACTTGTGCCCTCCTTTCCATTGTGGGCAGTGTACACACTCCCATGGTAGTTTAGCCTTGATTACTTTTGCACCTTAATGAGATCGACTTACACCTGGGTCAGTTGACTATGAGGATGAGCAACAACAACCAATATTTCACCCCAAGTACTATGGCACATTTACTTGTCTAGGGTGTTCCCCTCAAGGCTAGAGTTGCTTCTCTATATCTCTGGTTACCACTGAAGCAGATTCTTCAGTTTCTCACTTAAGGAGGTGGTTGTGTGGTTCTATGTTTTGAGTGAAGCTGTCTGCCAGATGTCCTAGCTTTGGGATGTCCACCTGTGCTGCCACTTACTCTCTGCCAGGTGACTTACTATGAGATACAAAGACTTCAGGTGACTGCTAATTGAGATTGTCTTAGAGGTTCCCAGAAAAAAAGCTAAGCTGGGCAAAGTGGTCTACTGCTCATGGCATTAGGCTGAGGGTCACACAGCAAGTGTTACAGAATATGTAGAAGACAGATAGGACCTTTTTGATAGATGTTACTAATATCTGATGCATGATCTAAGACAGACCAGATGTTGTGGAATAGTCTGGAAACAGCTCAGGTATGAAGAAAAGCATTTTTTTAGAATCTTTTCTTAACTTTTTCATGTCCTCAATGCAATATTGTGTTTTACAGTTTTCAACTCCCCTTTCTTCAGAATATTTTTAGAGGCCCCTGTTTTGGATTATTTTCCAGAAAAATAAATGTTCTGTTCTTTGGCATTTATTCATGTTTAGATTCAAAATTTATGTTCAGATATTTATGTTCACATAAAAATATGTGTATCATTTTGTTTCTCAGTGTTAAGATGAGTAGTATGGTTACTTTAAATTGGCATGTATTGGGGGATTATGTTTAAGAAATGCCCATTTCCGGAAAACTAGGTAGCTAAAAATCATGAGTGTATTTATTATAGGGTTTTTGTATTAAGCTATTCTAAAATTAAATTGAACTGTATGTGACCAGCATTTTATCACTAAGCAATTCTATTTCTTTACTATTTCTGGAAATTGGAAGTCCATCATTTGGAAATTTCTCAGCTGTGTTCAGG